ATAAACGTAAGCATAAGAAGAACGCAACATTTGTTCTTCTTATGTTTATGCTTAGGCACATCAAAGATTCCGCTGCTTGTGCTTATGCTTATTTCATCGTGTGAACCAGGCTTTAGACTCTTAGACTCTTAGTAGTGCATATCATGATAGCCATCAAAGAAACTTAAAATATGACTAGGAGTGAGATATATTCTATTTAATGCCAAGATTTTTGTGATCCCGCTTTGGTTTTCCAGCAAATATTTGTATTCACTTAAAAATGCTCATTATGTATGCAGACTCGCATGGTTATGTCATGGTTCATATAGTATATATTATATTATATAATACCTTATTGAATTCTGATAATTTAATTGGCTGTTTATGGTCACGTGATATTGAATAGAAAATTCCATTTCCCAAGAGTGCAATGGAATACGTTCCATTGCACTCTTTGCGAGTTCAATTGCCAATTGTACTATACGTTTTATTGCATTGCACTATTTGTGTTTTCGATAAATCGCATCCGTCAAAATGCTTCTCATACGAATCTATTAGTCTATTTTGGTATTATATAAAACAAATAATGAATGTTTATTCGTGCAATGGTAAGAATATTTTCATTCGGTGAAAGATGGAATGTTCCATTCAACTCGGCTGTCGCCTCGTTGAATGGAACATTCCATCTTTCACCTCATGAAAATATTCTTACCATTGCACTCATGAACATTCATTATTTGTATACTAGCTATATGACAATACAATGACGTAACCATGCGAGTCTGCATACATAATGAGCTACGCAATATTATCGCTAGATAGGAAAGTTAGGCGAACTTTATGCGCATTTTAAGTGGTTTTAACGCATTTTTAAGTGAATAGATTTGCTGGGATACCTGTGGTATAACTACAATTTCTCTTGTAGTTAACCAACAACTAATTGACACGAGTGTTGACACGAGTGTTGAGATTTTGGACATAAAGCCGAAAATGCCTGATGATGATCCAGCAACAGATCTCCTTGTCGCCCTTGGAAAGCCTGGTGATGATCCAGCAACAGATCGTTTTGACGCCCTTGGCTTATTTGAAAACCAGAACTCGCCGAATGATTTACCTGAAACACTATCCCCTGAAGTTGTGTGGGGCAGAGAAAATTTGATTGGTTTCCTTGAGTCGCCCACGGAGAGCGAAAGCATTGCTACGAGCCGCCCGGGTGAAGAGACCATTGGCTTGTCAATGGATCCATTGCGTACCGCGTGTAGTTCTGTCTGTAGTTCAGGATCACCTCAATATCCACCGATGCAATATTCTACACCTAAGAGAGTATCTGACGACCTTTCAGGAAGTAACACTACTGACACCATCCTTGATTTTTCCTCGGCCAAGCTTATCTCTTTTGAGTGTTAAATTTTAGAATAAATACACTATAGATATATACCCTGCCACTTTTGATTATTCATGTTAAGGTTATTAGGGGTTGGAGATAAATGTAGGCAGAGTTGGAGAAATTATTTTCCCGGGAGCTCAAACCTTGAGATAAAAATTTCCTGCAGATAAAGCGAGCATTTTTACCGTGCTAAATCTGTACCTAAACATAGTGTCCTAATATATATATATAATATATATATATATATATGTATGTATATATCGTAAAAATCTCACAGCTTGTTAATTAACAAGACAAGTGCTCGCACTGCTTGTTCCAAATTGTTGATAAGACCAACAGACTCGTAAGTCGTAACAAGTTGTGCCAACAGATTGATTATCGTCTCCACGTAACAGTTGATGACAACAAGCTCGTAGCAACCTGTTACGAACGGCGTGTATTAGTCTTGTTCGGAACAACTAATTCTTGGGTTTCATATGACGTCACAAAAGTGACGGGGGGTCAACTCTAAAACAAAACACAGTTATCAAAGTGAGTCGATTGTTCGTTTTATGTATTAGCCTCGTGTTTGGTGGCAAATACATGGAATTACGTATCATTTTCTTACTCCAGTACAGCGTAAGCATCAATACATTTGAGGTTGACCCCCTGAAACCCAAGAATTCCAACTGAAGTCTGTATGTTACCGTTATCAACCTTGTAACATGAGGGACCTTTAGCTAGCAGGACGGCGACGGCTATTAACACAATGAAATTTATGACAGTGTAGAAAGAAAATGCATAATTAAAGGTCCCTTGGGAGTTTTAGACGTCGTCCTTGCTCTGTTTACAACAGCAAAACAAAGATTTTCACGTTTTGTATACAACGTCTGCCTTTCAAGCCGCGAGAAGTCGTCCTCGCCCAATTGGCTTAGTAGAAGTCATCTCAACTATAAACCTCTGTCTTAACCTTCTAAATTGCAATAAATTCATACAACAGATAATACAAAACATGTTGTTCTTAAAATTACTTATTTGAACGAGTTTGTTTTGGTCGTCGCGTTGCCGTCACCTATTTGCTAAAGGTCCCTATGGAGGAACAAGCAGTGCAAACACATCCTGATATCGGCATGACAACAACCTTGTTACAACGTGTTTGCAGACCTGTAACAAATTGCGCGTTTTCACGTGTGTATTCATGGTTTTCACTGAAATTCAGGGCCCATTTATTCAAAGTTGGATTAGTGCTAATCCTGGGTTAGAAGTTAACCCGCTGTTTTGGTTCCAATTGGCACATATGTTCATTTCAAAACTTTGGAATATAAAACTACTACTAATGCAGACAAGAATTCTAGAAATCGATGCGGGTCATGTTTATAAACTTGAAACAAAGTGGCAGGGTATTATATAGATCACGTGAATTCATGTTTCGTTCAGTTTGAAAGGTTTTACGACAATCATTATAGAGGTTCAGATTTGACGGGAGGTACTTCATGTAAGGCCCACAAAACAGTTTGTTGAATTATAAGGTATGGTGTGATCTGACTGTTTTAACCTACTTTTATTTTCTAATTAATAATTATTATATGTGTTCCTCGCACGAAAGTAGTAACTGATTTGACTACCATTAGTACCTCGCTGGCTTACTACACATCTGATCGGATATATCAAACTCATCAGTCAAATCTGAACCTCTCTAATGACAAAGTAACACGATTTGTGTATGCAATGTTAATATACATTTTATGGCGTAAATAAGTTGAAGTTCTGTTGGGAAAGTTGTATTATTATCATTATATTATCGTTCGGGATCTCAAATATCGAGAGGTCTCCTGGCATTAACCTGAGTATCATGGCTTTAAAATAAAGTCTGACACAATTTATATACAAACTTCTTTCCGCCCCCATCCACAGGCTGTCAAATATCTATTAAAAGCAACCAGTCACAACAGTGAAATTGACCAAACTTTTAAAATTACTAAAAATCATCAATGTAATGTACGCAAACAAACTCATTAATATAGTTTAATGTAAACTATTGTTTTCTCTGAGCCAATCAGATTTACAATCGAAATACGGTTGTAAGGCATGGACTTTTGTTAAGTCTTGTATCAGGCCTATTTATTTACTTATAGGCCTGATCGCAGGTTTACCTGGCATCTCGTGCAATGAACTAATAGTAGATGGTTTTTTATAGATGGAATTTTTTAAAGCAAATCAGGAGCAATTGCGAAAAATGCAACTATGTCTATGGGCCCTCTGGCAGGAATCGAACGTACAGCCCTGTGATTGAGCTACTTGCCAGTTACTCAACCTCAGTTCCCAGGCACGAGTTTGCCAGTTGCTGAGCATTACACACACCCTGTCCACGGGCCTTGAAAATCCTGGAAAGTCCTTGAATTGGAAAAAATATTCCAGGACTGGAAAGTCCTTGAAAATCAGTAGAAGTCCTTGAAAGTCTTGGAATTAATTTCCTTAACCTCGGCCTGCATGTGCCAACATTAGTGATTTTGATTAAAATTACTGAATAAAGTGAATTATTTGCTGGGCAAATCCGTGCCATTTTCAAAGATTTTTCCCAGTTCTAGGTCCTTGAATTTACTGAAACCGGGGCCTTGAAAGTCCTGGAAAAGTCCTTGAATTTCACCTTCACCAAAGGGTGGACACCCTGCACACACACAAATCTCGCATCTTGTTCTAGCCAACAAGCTGTCAACAAGTTGTGTTTCGCATTACTTATCCCAAGTTTGGAACAAGCTGTTTAATTGACAACTTGTAACGACCTTGTTGATATTATCAGGCTTGTTGCAAGGTGTTCCAAGAAGTCCGATATACACAGTCATGATATAGCAATATTGTTACAACCTTGTGTCGTCAACCATGTAACATTCTTGTTATATCATGGCTATCAGACTTGTTAGAACAACAAGTTTGATAATGCCATCAAGCTTGTTACAAGTTGTTAACAGCTTGTTCCAAACTTCCTACAATAACTAGGAACAACCAGAACGAACACAACTTCTCGACAGCTTGTGAACAGACTTGTAACAACTTGTTTGCAGTCCTGTAACAACCTGTGCACTTTTACATAGTTAATAGAAGTAATAAACACTTATCAGAAAAGATAGTTAATAATTATAAGTTAAAAATTTAATGCTCGCTATACACACGTAAAAACGCACAAGTTGTTACAAGTCTGCAAACAAGTTGTTACAAATCTGTTCACAAGCTGTCAACAAGTTTTGTTCGCAGCTGCTTGTTCCCAGTTGTTGTAACAAGTTTGGATCAAGCTGCTAACAACTTGTAACAAACTTGATGGCATTATCAGACTTATCACAAGGTTATGATACAGTCATGATAAACAAGAATTGGCGACACAGGTTGTAACGATATTGCTAATATCATGACTGTATCGGACTTGCTGGAATAGCCTTGTAATTACAAGCTTGATGTTCCAAATTGTTGACAGTTTGTTCCAAACTTGTTGACAACTTGGGACAAGCAGTGCGATGGCAACTTTTTGACCTCTTGTTGACAAACTTGCTACAAGATGTGAGATTTTTGCTTGTGCACCACGTATTGAACTACACGCGTAAAAACTCACAGCTTGTTACAAGTCTGCAAACAAGTTGTTACAAGTCTATTCACAAGCTGTCAACAAGTTGTGTTCGCACTGCTTGTTCCCAGTTTGTTGGAACAAGCTGTTAACAACTTGTAACAAGTTTGATGGCATTATCAGCCTTGTTACAAGACTGTGCCAACAAGTTTGTTACAGCCATGATATAACAAGGATGTTACCAGGTTGTCAACACAAGGTTGTAACAATCTTGTTATATCAAGCATGTAACGGACT